ACCAGGTTGGTCTGACAGGACCTGCCACTGATGAACCCGTGTTGGTTGCCCCTAAGCATGCAGTCCCCTGCTGGCCCCTCCTGGATGTGTGCCAGAATAATTTTCTCAAACAGCTTGCCTAGGATTGAGGTAAGACTAACTGGCCTAGTTTCCCGGGTCCTCCTTCCTCCCTTTTTTGAAGATGCGTAAACTGATGCACCCTGAGGTTAAATAAGAACACAATTAAGCTGGAACTAGATTCTAGCAGTTCTAAACCCGTCAGTTATGCCTATAATTGGAAAACACTTACTATCTCTCTTCACTAAAACCAAAGTCTATTCTAAACAAACTACTTTACAACTGAATCCTATAAGCAAGTTCAGAAGCAGTCAATGTAAGAAGTTAGAGTTCAACAAATACATTTCAAGTGTTTTTTCTTGAGAAGATTAGGAGGGAAACGCAGCTAACGTACTATTTTGGAAAGCTATGTAATCTTGTAAAAGGGACAAAAGGTTTGATCCTCTGATGTGCTTAATGAGTATTTCCTGATTGTTAATAAGAATTCATGATGCTCATTCTATTTGAAAATTAGACTTTAATTATGCCTTTCACACTGAAGGAAAACATGTTCTTGAATAATAAATAACCTGTGGGGTCCTATTTTAAACCACTCCTGTCATAAAAACATTTAAAAACAAATCAAATTAATACAGAGCACCATAGTACTCTGGGATGCCTTCAGATCCTTTTAAGGTTGTTACAGGTACCATGCAGCATTAGCACCATTAGGTGTGCAAACATCTATATGAGATTCACAAGATAAACTCTGGTATTTCAAATTGGAATATACCATGTCAAAAACCTGCCATGGTCTTTCCAAGTTCTTTGCAACAGAAGAATTGTTCTATTATTTTTCCATAATCAAAGAAATGAGTGAGAGCTGAAGGCTGGCATTTTCCTAAGGGTGCCTCAAGTCTAAGATGGATGAAAGCCACTGCTTTAACAGATAATTACTTTTAGAAGCCTATAAAATATTCTAAGACAGGAAAAGTACATAGTATAGTTTATACATTCTACTTTTTTTAAATATTACTTTGATTTCAGCATCTTTATTAAATATATTTGCATATATTTTCCTTGGGTGTATAAGGTCTCACTCTGCAGCCATGCCTTCCCACTGCCCTGAGGCTCTGCCTGTCCCCACTCACCCCAGCTCTTGCTGCAGTTGTCCCAGGAGTGGCTGATGCCAGTTCCCTGTGCATCGTGCCCTGGTACAGGCAGCTGGTGTTGGTAGCTCCCAGGCCTGCTCCACCACGGGCTGGGGTGAGTGCAGAGAAGTGGAGCCTTGGGTGCTGCAGCGTGCAGCACTCACCACAGCCCTGGCTGCAGAGGCCCTGGGAGCTGCTGGCACCAGCTGCCTACTGCCACTGGGCTGCACCATACCCTGAACCCCGCAGGGCTCTGCCTATCTCCACTTACTCCAGCCCCAGCTGCAACAGCCTCGGGAGCTGTCAGTGCCAGCTGCCTGGACCAAAGCATGGTGCAGCCCAGCTACTACAGGGAGCTGGCATCAGCTGCTCCTGGGACAGCTGCAGCAGGAGGTGGGGCCAGTGGGGACAGGGAGAGCCCTGGGGGTTTGGGGAATGGTGCAGCCTAGTGGCTACAGGCAGCTAGTGATGGCAGCTCCTGGGGCTGCTGCAGCTGGTGCTGGGGTGAGTGCCATGCCTCACACCACCCGGGGCTCCGCTTGTCCACACTCACCCCAGCCTGTGCTGTAGCAGCCCCAGGAGCAGCCGACACTGGAACTTATCCCTATTTCTTGCATTATAAAGTGGGTTCGCTTTATGCGAATTCAGTTTATGCGGCATTCTCCAGGAACGCATGTACTGCATAAATTGAGGGAAACCTGTATTGTGACCACCTTATCCAGAAGTGCTCATGAACTGTATGAAAGTATAAGCACTGCTAGATACGGCAGTAATGTTATTTATTATAATTCTAAATGATCAAGGCCACCACATATTGATGGAGTTTAATATTTAACAGTACTTAGCATCTACTAAATCTGATTAAGACCTGGGTGGAGGCTGGAATTCAAACACTGAATACATAAATTGTATTAAGTGCTTGTGTTAAACTTCAGTTACTGGCCTATAGTACAAAGTCTAGTTGGCTTTACTGTTCTGTAGAAGTGTCCAATAGTACAACTAGGCATCAGTTTATTTGTAACCCAGAAAGACTTATCACAAGGTCACTAATCTGAAGCAGCAGTGTAATGAGGGGTGGGTGAATAGGGTACAAGTCCTGGGCACCAACTTAAGGGTGGGCAACAAGATTGGTAGCTGCTGCTGTGGGCCCAGGTGCCACCACCTCCCATGGCAAAAAAACTGCATGCTCTGCCTCTCATCTGAACATTTATTCATTTTGTAAAGTATCTGCCAGCTTTGGTGAAGGAACATTAGAATTCCTGGTACACTTTTTTGTTCAACTAAGGGGATCTCATGTTCAGACACTTTGATTCTGAAGCTGCAAACATTTGTGAATGTGACTAGTTTAATCCACGAGTAGTCCCATTGTATTCCAGTCTCCATGGGTTTTCACAGAACTAGGGTTCTACATGCCTTGCAGTATTTAAAAATGTACTACTCTGAGACTGACAACATAGAAGTACTGTAATACTGGAACGGAAAAAATGGAGAAGACCATCCATATTAAATCTGTGATTTAAATTTTGTTGTTGTTGTTAAGTAGGAACCTGTGTTAAAGAACATAACAGTTTTGGCTAAAACCCAGCCCATTAAAGCATTTTTGCTTCTCTCATTGGAAAACATCAAACTATTAAAACTATAGTGCAAAAATGCTTATAAAAGATTAAGTAAATTTAGAAAATTAAGTCTTCTGCCCCTTCACCCCCAAAAGAACCACACACCCAGTGCGACAGAAATGACAATTATATTTTTAAAAGTAGCTTTATTAGGAATTCAAACTTGCTCCTGATCTCTTCAATTGCTTTGAATAAAAGGTTTGCATTGTTGTAACTAAGCTGGCACAGATTTCACTTAAGTCAGCTATTTGTGTGCCAGTCTGGAGAGGCTGTCTTATTTTTCTAAACTTTCCTTTACTCTGAGGTTTTATGTGCCATGTTTCTGTCCGAATTACAGAAAGAAGTAGGGAACACACTTTTTTTTTTAAACTTATTAGGAAAAATTGTGTAATCTAAAGTAGTACAAAAAAGAAGAAATGTGAAGTACAAAAATATTCTTTAAAAGAAATTAAGAGAAAAGTTTGATGAACTTTTCATACCAGGTGATATACATAAAACAATTACACAGTAACATACCAAGTCATTTCTACACAAATGAGGCATTGGGACAGCATGTATGCTGTTAATTAAACAAGAAAATAAATACTGTATGTACTCAATTACAAGATGAGGCTCCCCCATTCAACAATGGGAAAACAAAGCCTCATCTTAGAATCAAGTAAAAATGCAGTACCCGCAGTTAGAAGCAGCAGCAGCAGGAATCCACTTAAGGCACGGAGCAATGTGGGACCTGGTACAGGGGCATAGGGTGGTGTGGGACCCAGGACAGAGGCTCCCAGTGGTGTGGGAAGGGATTGGTAACGAAGGGGACAAAGTGCTCGGGAGGGGAGAGGGGGGAGTAGGTGGCTGGGAAGGCAAGTAGTGGGGCAGGCACAAGGGTGGGGCAAAGGGCTGTGGTCAGCCTGCCTGCTTACCCTCTCCATTCGCCTCCCCATTGCTTGCCCCCCTGCCACTGATTTCCCTGCTGTAGCAATGGACAGGGACAAATAAGGTGACCCTCCAATAATAAGGTCCAATACATGAAAAATTTATTAATTTGTTATAATCTTCCATGTATCCTCCTAATTATTGGAGGGTTGTCTTTAAATTCATCCTTCCCACCATTGCGGGGGGCAGAAAGGGGGGAGGCCCCTGTTTGTGCCTGCCCTGC